GCACTTTTTGTTGCTACTCCTGCAACCCAAAAATAACCGCCGCCGCCGTCCTAATCGGTTTTGTCGCAGTTTTCGGCGGGCGCGCCGACGATATTATACATATGCAAGGCTTTGGGCAAGATCGTGACGTTCCCGCAGTGTTTCGTCCAGGCACCCGGTAACGGGTATTACATGGAGCTTTTTTGGCTCGAACATAGGGACCTATCTGCCTTTGGGTATGAGCGACCACTGGCCACGACGATTTCTATCATGTAACTGAAACTCCAATGGCGATCAGCCGGCAGGGAGCAGTGAGTCGGCATTTGGTTGTGGCGTCTTCTTGCCAGAAGTGAGGCTTTTAGCAGCTCGTCTTTCCCTTGGAAGTTCGTTGACACCGCCCACAAATACTATTATGACGCAAAAGGGGGCCACATGGCGGCAAACGTCAAAAATCTCCATCTTTGTTAGTCCGACATCACAAGAAGTACATGTTAGCTAGAGGGTTTTTTTTTGGCTCAGTTTGAAAGTTGCCAATCGTTGTTTTCGTTTATTTATGGGTCGAGTATGTGATCATTCCTGTGTCCTGGGGCGTGCCGTCGGAGCCGAAACATGTCTAGACGCCAGGAAAGGAAGAACGCCCAAAATTCAACCCCGCGTCCAAAAAAGAAGAGTTCCGGTCTTGAGAACTTTGCCTCTCCTCGCTTGCTATTCCTTGTCCATCTTATGATGCCCCGTCAGACCGATGCCCATCTTGGCCCAGCACCAGTTGGGGAAAGTCTGAGGGAGTTGACTTGATCTAGGAGCAGTTGAACGCAACGCGGAGGCAAGAAGTCCAGTCGTCGGCATCGTTGCAGTTGCTCCTGAAGCCCGAATCGAGGATCGTCTGGCGGCCCTTGTACCTGTGATTTTTGCGTGCTGTGTTAGCTCCACACATTCAAAGAGGAGGGATCTCAAGATTTCACAAAGCTGTCGCGGCGGAAACGAACCAGAAGTAACCGCGCGCCTGGCGGTCATCGGGGCGGTCGATGGTCAGCTCGATGGTGTACGGGAGCTGAGAGTGGAAGGTCCAGGTGCCCGACGGCGGGAGCGGGTTGTCATTGTTTGCGAGAGTTCCCTACAGTTACCCAGGCGGGCCATGTTAGCGGGTATTCCAAGGCCACCGCCGCGGCCTAGCCCATCAACACGGGGGGTTCACTGACCAGCCAGCGGCAGCTGCTGTCGTAGACGGTGACGAAGTGGCCGGTCGGGTTGGAGACCGAGAAGACGCCCAGGGTGCAGAAGCCGTCTCCGGTCGGAGTGCAGAGGTGGGAGGGACCGATGCGCTGGGCACTGGCGGGAGCGACCAGGCCCGCAACGGCGGCGAGGATGGGAGTGAAGAGCTTCGAGAGCTGCATGGTGGATGGTGATCTCGAGTGAGAATGAGAGGCTTGTTTATGTGCAGGATATCTAGGCTGAGAGAGTTGCCTTGGTGGGTTTTATGTAGGTCTGGATGAGGGCAGTAGTGATTACTGTTGTTGTTGTTGAGGAGGTTGAGGTTGGAGACAGGCTGGGCGAGAAATCCCACTGTTTATATAAGCCCCAAAAATTGGCCTGGGGCCAAGTCTCTGTCTTCTATCTGATGTTTGATTCTATTGAACGGTGCTGGCGGTGCTCTCACATATCACTCACTCGGTCGTTACGGTCTCCGTCACTTTGCTTCAGCCGCTTGGCATTCCCCAGGCACGGAGGATGATGGCGGCCCACCCGGCCCCGAGTCACCTCCTCAGCCTTGCCTCACACCTGCCCTTTACTATTCTTTACTTCGAGAGGAAGGCTCCCATCGAGTTATACAAGTTTCTGTTTGACAGGTCAAAAAACCTGCATCTGCGACAAGACAGACCTGCCAACATGACCACAGGGCATATCTCAGATGAAAGGGCTCTCACAATCGCAGAAACATTCATTAATCCCAGAATCCGTGATAACAAACCCATTGTTTGTGCCGCTAGAGCGGCCCTGCCGTAGAGATCTACGCCTTGTCCGTATTTAGGAGTGAGGGATGCCTACCTAATTTCTGTCACAGTTGAACTTGCCGTCGAGAAGGACGGCCTTGTAGTGCATAGGATGGTTATAGTTTTCATTGCAATTGCTGATGAAGGCTTAGGATTATCACCGTATCGAGAAGTGTTTCGTCCGATAGATTGTCTCTAGGATGTTTTACTAGATAGCCATATTCCAAGCCATATCCTCTCACATCCTGCGTTGCCTCGCGATGTTCTCGGTGACGACTTCAATGATTCGTTGCCTGAGCTCCGTCGGCTTGTTCCCCTCCTCCTGTTCCGCAGTCAGGCGTCCCGGCACCACCTCGAATGTGTCACGGCAGGTAAGGGATCCCAACAACCGGGATTTATTCCAGGCCTCGACCTCGATCTTGTAAGTTCCCGTCTTCAGGAAGCGGAGGCGCTTGAACATGTACCAGTACGTGATGTTCTCGCGGACGCAGGGCGTGTCGACAAGGTCAGCCCCCTCGAGGTGGTCTTGGAGAGGATATTCCTCTCCTGCGGGCCCCTTCAGTCGGAGCTCCAGGCGGACGGGCTTCAGCTTGTTGTCGTCGATGATGTGGACGAGAATGGGGACATCGATGTCCCTTCCGACAGTGACTGTCCGAGGGCCCTGGACGGGGATGTCGATATCAAAGGGCTCCCAACCTGGCATTGTAGGCAGTTGGTAGAGGAGGGATCGGAAGTCTTGCGTGTCTGTCGTCTTTATTGAGGCAAAATGATTACCGGTTGCTGTGGCTAGCAGTTCTCCCCAACTCAGTAGGCGGGGACAAGATGAATTATTTGTATTGTTCGTGGCATGAGACTCGAAGGACTTGAACCCTTTGTCTGTATACGCATTTTGCCACGAGAATTCCTGGATCCGGAAAACAAAGACCGGACGTATGCAGTGACACGGTTCTGGCGATTTGCTGTGTTCAGTGTTGCCATCCCATTGTGCTCTGGATACATGAATGGGGACCTCAAGCAATCGTGGCACCAAAAACGGCGAGATGGTGCACAAGTGCTGCAAAAGGCAGGCCCGACAGCGACACCAAGACGACGAGCGACGACAAGACAGCCATCTCAATTTTAGTCGTCGCCGTCAAGATCGAACACCAATAGCATCCTCCAATTGTCCACTATGGCGTCGTTACGGCCCAGTATCCCGACCCGGGGCGAGTTCATCCTGGCTGGGCCAGAGACTGCCGCGAAGGGGCAGAAGTTCGCGGTGCCCATCGTCTTCCGGATCCGAGCCGACGAGTTCCCGGGCGTGCCGGTCGACCAGCTCGAGGTCGAGTTCCACCTCGTGACGAGGGGAGGAGAGGGGCTGCACCCGCAGCTCGGCGCCGTCATGGAGCCGCAGGGCGGCGTGGCGAGCCAGCGCGCGGTCCGCTGGGACAACGGCGCGGCGTACTTCGTCGTCGAGGCGCCGTCGATCCACTACAGCGGCTGGTTCGGCATCGCGGCCAAGATCAATAGCCTCCGGGACGGGCAGCCGCCGCTGGTGGTTGGCCGGCAGGTCAGACAGGGCATGCTAAAGGTGGAGAGGTATCACGCGTCTGGGCCTCAGATAAGTTAGTAATGACAGGACATCCTTTGCTGTGCAAAACGGCTCCCTCGGCCGGCTTCGGCATCAAGCCAATACAGTCTGACTCTGAGCAAATATAGCCAGCGAGCAAGCCAAGCTTATAGCCAACCTCAAGGCTCGTGGTGTTCTTGTCGACCGGGCCGTGTCCCGCAGGGGCACTGGGCTTTCCCAGGCGGAGACAGGATGCTGTGTCATTCTTTGAGATGCCCAAAGCAGTGTGTTGGGCGTTGTGGCTTGTGGGCAGACTAGGTCTGGCTCTAGTCTCAGGAAAGGAGCAGAGAGTGACAGGCTGTTATCTCTTGCGTGCATGGTCTTCTGTGTCGGCCCAAGAGATGAGATAGTTAGAGAAGGGCTACGGCAGGGTATTTGCGTTACTATCTAGGATTGTGTAGGAGTACCACAATGCCTTGTCGTGATGTATTCCAGTGACTAGGGATTGATCCGGGGGCCGATCATGCAGCAGTGCACTCTTGGGTTTCTCTACGATTCGTGGACCGTCCCTCCTGTCACCCCCGATCTAAGGGGCCTTGCTGTTTGGGTGTTGAGGGAGGCCCAGAGAGAACCGCATGGAAGAATGGAGCACGGCGACCGCCGATCGGCGTAGGACCAAATGTTTGCCTGGAGGATATGGGCTTCGCTGCTCCAAAACAGGAGCAAGCAACCGTTAGCTACATCAGATTGACCTGACCGCGCTCTCAGCCAGATCTCAGATATTTCATCCATACTACTGCCGTAGCAACCCACTAAAAGCTCCATGGAAAAAAATAAAAATAAAGGGCACCAAAACCTCACCTCCATCCCGAGATATCAACCACATTTCACACAAACTGACCAAAGTCCGACGTCACTTGCCCACTCCCCCAACCGCCGGCTTATCAGAACAAGCAAGAGAAGCTCCACTTACACTAGGCAAAGCATTCCAAAATAACCCTGAAAGCAAAACCCAACAGCCCATCCACCATGGGCCGAGCCCGCAAGCCCTCCCCTCTCAAGCCGGTGTCCCGCGGACCGTACAAGCCGTCCGACGGCCGGCTGGTAACCAATGGCGCCATCTACGCCGTGGCCGGCAAGCCCGTCGCCTTCCCCCTGATCATGGGCATCAACACCGATGCCGCCGAGCGCTGGAACCCCAAGCACCTCGTCTTCCACCTGGCCGTGCACCAGGCGGGCGGGCGCGGCGCGCGCGTGCCCGACCACGAGCGGGACCAGCTCGTGTCGTGGCCGAACGAGGACGAGGAGGACGATAAGGCCAACGTCCTCGCCGCCACCGCCGCCGCCGCTCGGGACCCCTTCGCGGCCAGGACGCACGGCGACGCGCGCCTGCTCAAGGTGCACTCACGCACGCGCACCATGGGTCGCACGACGCACCACCCGCACTACTACTTCGAGGTCGGCGGCTTCGCCATGACGCGCCCGGGCGTCTACCGCCTCGCCGTCGAGGTGCGCGAGTCGCTCGACGTCGTCGGCCGCGTCCCGCCGCGCGCCTCGTACCGCGCCAAGCACGACATTGTCGTCGTCGCCGCCGGCGAGGAGAGCGAGAACTCGGCCGAGGATGCCGAGATATTTGGGGAGTACTGTATGCTTATTTTTTTACTTTCCCCCCGAGATGACTCTACTTTTGGTCTCTTTTTACTATCTAGCTGTTTTAACAAGGGGCGTCAACAGGCAAGTCGGAGATGCACTTCTTTGAGAATCTGCATGGCCGTTACACCCACGAGACGCTTGAGAAGATGAAGCTCGAGGACAAGAAGATTAACTCCGAGGACGAGGAGATCAAGTCGGAAGACGAGGATATCAAGTCGGAAGACGAGGAGCTCACGTCTGAGGACGAGGATATCAAGCGCGAGGACGACAAGATCTACCCGCAGGATATGCAGATGGCTCATGGTTACCAGATGTACCTGAACACTCAGAACATCCAGCCCGAGGACGACAAGACCAAGCTCGAGAAGAAGAAGAAGAGCGAGAAGCTCAATCGCAAGTATATCAAGTATCTCGAGGATCGTGTGGCCAGGCTCGAGAATGAAAAGATGGATCTCGACGATCAACACATCAAGCGCGAGGACCTCCTGGATCCGAAGATCAAGTTGGAGAAGGAGTAGACGAACAAAACGAAAACGAAGCTGGCATGAATGTAGGAGGACGCCACCAGTCTTTGCCGGAGGACGTGGATTACATGTGTCAAATCTTTCAGCGTTGTGTTGGCATGGAGGACAAGATCGGTTTTCTTTTGGAGGAGAATGTGAACTATACGGGTTAGACATCTCAGCGTTGTATTGGCGTGGGCACGTTTGCGTGTTTGGCCGAAGCCTGTTGCTCTCCCCTTAAGGGAATGCGGTAGAAAACCCGAACTGTTTTGCCATCAAAATAAGATGACTCCCGAGGAGAATACGAAGAACGCTCATTGCGACTAAACATACATGATTAAATTGCGCCTGCAAATGCGCGAGTGCCCCCAACCATCATCGTCCGTCTCATCACTGCTCATGCCACCTCCCTCCCATCAGAGATACTGATGGACAGAGACACCTTGCCTCCAAGGGCGCATCTCTTGGGTGGTTCAACACATGGGGGGGATATATCTCAATAAAGACCAAGGTGATGCTAATAAAATGTGGAATAAAAGGTGAAAGGCAGCCTTGGGAATGGGAGGAGAAAGGCAACCAAAAAAAAAAAAAAAAAAAAAGAAAGGCGGCAGGGACACAAGATTGCGATGCGCAGCACGGGGCTAGATGGTACACGCAGCCAAGGGAGAATGACCATCGTCGTCTGCTCACGCGGGCGTGACGCTGGTCGCCTTGACCGTGGCCTTGCAGGCGCGGCCGCTCCTGCGGACGCACTGCGACGCCGCGTCGACCGCCTCGATGGACCGCCTGACGCCGTAGACCTTCTTCTCGGTGTACTCGTCGCCGTCGGCGTCCGTGTCATCAAAGTCGCCGCTGTCGTCGTTGTCGCCCTCCGTCTCGGTCTCGGTCTCGACCGTGTTGGCGCGGCTGGCGCGGGGAGGGGTGGAGATGTGCGACACGTCGTCGCCGTCTCCCTTCATCATCAGCATACTGGCGGCGGCACGCGCGGCAATGGTCTTCCTGATGTTGGTGCTGCCGCTCGCATTGGCGGTCTTCTTGATCGCGCTGCTGGTGGCGGACGTCTTGGATACCTTGAACTGCAGCTTCCCCCCAGCGGGCTCCGTTGTAGACTTGGCAGTCGTCTTGGCCCAGAGGGAAGTGGGGCCGAACGACGGTGTTCCTCTGTTGCTCATCTTGCGAGCCGGCACGCCTGTCGACTTGTTCGCCGCAGCAGCGGCACGCGCCGCCTCCGCCGCCGCCCTCTTTGCGATCCACGCGGGCGGCGCCTTGCCGCGGGCCCTGGCCTCGTCCTCGGGGCCGAGGAAGCGGTGGACGGTGCGGTGGTCCAGTACTCGCTCCTCGGTATCGTGGGGCCCGTCAGACTGCGTCTTGGGCCAGACGTAGCCATACAGGATGCTGTGGCGCTCGCAGCGCGGGCACGAAGCGCGCGTGTAATAGGCGTCGCGCTGGACGAAGGCGGTGCCGCAGTTGATGCAGTGGACCCACGCCGTCATGGGCTCCGACAGCAGGACTGGTGTCAGCGTGTAGTCGCCTGGGATTCGCTGCTTGGCTGGAGGAGATGAAGGTCCGTTGTCGGCATCAGCCGCGGCGGCGACGCTGCTCCTCCGCGGTCCTCGGCGCTTCTTTCGGGTTGGTGCTGCCACCCCCGGCTTAGGAGCCGCTGAAGTCGTGTCCGGCTCGCCGGTTGACTCGACCGCGCCCGTGACCGTGTTGACTTGAGTCTGGGCCTGGCTAGCTCGGAGCTTCTCAAGAGCCACAGCATGCTCTGTGGCTATCTGCTCAAGAACCTCAAGCTTATCTCCAGCCTGGCTCGCCTCGGTTGGTGTTATCGGGCCTGACTCGAGCCCTGACTCGAGCGCCGAGGTGCTCGTTTGACTTGAAGGAGCGCATGGGCTGTCTCCTGCGGGCCTGGGAGGCGGAGGCATGAGAGGCGAGACGACCTTGAAATTGCCAGTGTCTGACCCGAAGTCTGATGGAGAACTCGAGAGGAGCGCAGAGATGGAGAGCATGGCGGTGCGATCCCTTGGCGGCGCAATGGTTTCAGGGTTAGGTGCTATTGAGGAGTCATCTTCTTGCTTGAGAAGTTGGATTGGGCGGTTTGCATGCAGCGGCTTCGGTGAATGGATAACAGGAGCAGAATTGCGCTCCACTGCTACGGCAGCTGGCACCTGGTCATCGGGTTGCTTGGGATGATCGGTATCGATATCGGGACTGCTGGCCTCGGGCGAGGTCACGTCGCTGAGATGCGGGTCCGTGCTGTCACCGCCCTCGAAGACCGACGACTGGCGACTGGCCTGAGAAGAAGCAGAGCTTGCTGGAGGGCTGTTGAGGGCACGGACGGCAGGCTCCAGACTCTCGACGTGGCCCGTCTTCTGCTTCTTGGCGGGCGTTTCGGGCGGTGTGGCAAGGAGCTCGGGGTCGTCGCGCTTGCGCTTCAGCAAAGCGCCAGTGGCCTCGGCTGTGCTGGAATCGGTCGTGGAGGCCCTGTCCAAGGTCGAGAGGTGCATCTTGGACTTTGACTTGCGGATGCGCGGGCGGATGTCGGGCGTGACTGAGGGGGTCCTGGAGATGGCGCGGCTGGCGCTCTCGTCGCGCCTCCTCCGGCGGAGCGAGTACGGCGCCGCGTCCTCCTCGATGCTCTTCTCCAGCGGGGCGTCGCCGTCCTCGCGGCCAGCGGCCGCCCAGCCGTTGACGCGTCTCAGCTCGCAGGTCCTGCAGAGGCACTCGCAGTTGCTCTCGCCAAAGTAGTTGTCGCCGTACGTAACGGTGATCTCCTCGCCAATGTCGATGTCCCTGAGAGCCTGGACCTCCATGCCGGCCTGGCCGGCCGTCTTAAGCCTGGCGTTGGCGCCGCAGTCGTGGTTCGCGAAGCGGGCCGGGCCCATGAACAGGCTCGTGCACTTGTTGCGCGAGCTGACCACGAGCGAGAAGTCCTTCTTGCGTAGCGAGAGCTGGGCCTCCTCCTCGGGGGTGATGACGACCTGGATGCCGCACAGGCCCTTGATGGTCTCGTTTTTACTGATCGGTCGCCTGGCCGTCACGCTCGCCTCGTGCGTGAAGATGGTGTAGCGGTTCGTCGCGTTGACCTCGAAGGGGCAGTCGGGCAGGTAGATGGCGAGGTAGCGGCGGAGATGGTCTGCAAAGTCCTCCTTCTCCTTGGGCGTGGCTAGGGACCTGGAGAACTTCTTGAGGCCGTCGGTGGCCAGGAGCTTCTGCTCCGCGACCTTGATGTTCTCGTCGATAATGACATGGCGCTGGATGATCTTGGTGATCTCGTCCTGCTTGATTCCTCGGGATGCATGGTACGACGGCCGGTTCTTGGGTATGCTGGTCCAGTAGAATGTCTGCAGGACAGGCCTACATGTCAGCAGCCGCGAAGAACGTTGCTGGCGCACAGCACCGCCGCGCGCGTCGGCCACCACAGGGCCCTGCTCCAGAGCTACAACACCAGCCAACTTACGTGATCGACCAGCGCATCGGTCAGTATGTCGTCGTAGGCGGCCAATCGCGCAAACGTCAGCGCCTGCTTCCTCGCAGACTTGGACGGCGGCATTGTGGCCTCTACCGCTGGCGGGCCTGGGCTCCGCTGCTCGCGCGACTCGTCAGGATTGCCGTCGGGGCCAAAGCGATTGCGAAAGTGACGGCTGTTGAGGCGCAAAGTTTACTAGGCGGAGGCTGCGCGCCCTAGAGGTAAAAGGGAGACAAGATGCGCGGTTGGCAGTCTAAGTCGACGGGACGAGAAAAAGGACGAGGTCAAAAAGGAGAAGAAAGAGAGTCAAGAAAACAAGATGAAGAGACTAAACCAGACCAAAGATGAAGGCGGCGGCCCCGTGGCGGTGGCCCCGTCAAACAAAAAATCCCTGATGGTTAGAGGGGGCGGGTTGGGGGCTCGGGAAAGAAAGGGAAGAGAGCGAGAGAGAGTTGCGGCGCGGGTCTCAGTGAGAGTTGGGTCGGGTCTCGTCAGAGCAGGGGCCAAGGCGGAGGACGGGTTGTCGTCATGGGCCCATGCAGCGGGACTAGCCCGTCTAAAATTAAACGTTAAAGCGGCGCGCAGTGCAGCAGCTGGTCGCGTATCAGCGAAGAGTGCAAAAGAAAAGAACAATGAGAGCTCAAGCTGTTTGTTACGGCTGTCGGAATGCGGCGTGTCACTACAATTCCAAATGGCGGACGAGAAAGAAGGATGGTTGGGATACTAGTATGCACTCTGTCTGTGTTTACTAGTACACCGCGCGAGGTGGAATGCCTGTATTTTGATCCACCTCCATTGACCTCTGCGTGCTCTCATTCATCAATTGGATCGACAGAGGGCGGGGCCCAGCTTCATCCTCTCTCCCCTGTCAATCGCAGCAGACCATCGTGTGTCTCGACCGCGAGCAAGGACAGACAATAACAACCAACTTGGTTTCATTAGCGCGATGCATGACAAGATGGGACGAGATGAACAGCCCAAGCCAGATGGTTCGACTGGGCGATTGAGTGCCCAGCTGGAGGTCAGCCGGGACCACCAACAACCTCCTGCTTCTTGCTTTTCCCCATCCCAAGTCCCAAAGGGGGGAGCCATTGATGCATTAGATCCCCGCCGGGGGCTGAACAGCCCCCTGTTCCTATTGTGTGCATTTCTGCGACTCTGGTTGGGCGCAGCCAAACTGTGGTTCAAGAGGGCGGTTTGGGTGGTGTGGAGACTCGAATGTCAGAATCGATTGGCCAGATGGTAGACCCAAAGCCTTGGGGTTGGATGACATAATCCCTCGGCGCCGCCCAAGATTTTCGTTGGCGGAGCTTTGGGCTACGGGAGCCGAATTGACGACGCCTGAGAGCGGGAGGAGCATCAAGACGGTCAACGTCGGGAACAGCACAGCACCTGGACGGCCACAAGGCGAGATTGCTCAGAATGATTCAGCTAAAAGTAAAGCGCACTGTTTCTTTTACACACTGCTGCTCCTGGCAGACACAGGCTGACAATGCGGGGTGCATGATCCCCAGACGATACTAAACTGCATCGACAACTCGGGTGCGGCCCTCGTCGAGTGCGCCATGATCGTCGGCCAGAAGCGGCACGCCGCAATAGGTGCGAAGCGATCCCCGTAACCAGCCAACCAGTCGGCCACGGCAGTAGGCTAACAACTACCGCGACGGCTCCTCCCTCCCCCTCCCCTCCCACCAGGCGACCGCATAGTCGTCGTCGTGCAGGCCCAGCGCGGCCAGGGCGCCCAGGGCATGGGCGCAATGTCGGCGGCCAACAAGGTCAAGCGCGGCGACATCCGGCATGCCATCGTCGTGCGCACAAAGTACAAGTCGCAGCGGCCCGACGGCTCCGTCGTGCGCTTCGACGACAACGCCTGCGTCCTCATCAACAAGGCCGGCGACCCCGTCGGCTCCCGCATCAACGGCGTCGTCGGCGCCGAGCTGCGCAAGAAGCAGTGGAGCAAGATCCTGTCCATGGCCCCCATGTACACGTGAGCGGGGAGGAGGGTTGGCAGCAAGCGTTTCTGTGTTCGGACGTCTATGGCTGCAGTTGGTGAAGGAGAAGGGGAGGTGGGAGGTCCCTACTTCATCAGCTCCATGGCTGGCTGTCAAAGACCCAGAAAACTGCCTAGGTACAAAGCTTGGGGAATGGCGGCACGGCGGTGGCAACTGGGTTGAGTTGGAAAGCATAGCCTGTGCGTTCACGCAGATGCTGCTATCCAGCCTCTCACAGGGTGACAGGGCCCGTTCCATACATGCCACCTTCACGGTGACCTGACAGAGAGCGCATCTGAGTGAAGGCTTACGATTCGCAAGGATACCTAGAGGTACCTATCTAATGTCCTTGGGGATGGACGCGGGTTCAGTGCGTGTAGTGTCGAGAGAAGGACACCGAAAGACATCGCGGGGCAGGGATGGGTGATACCGTAAAACAAAAAGCAGAAGAAAAAAAAACGAAATCTCAATCCACGCAATCTTGGGTGTCTTCAACTCATCGCAATCTAGAGGGGCAAAAAGATGGAACGAAACGGGCGCGCAATGGCCATAAAAACAACCCGCACTTTCGGCAAAACTGCCCGAGTTGGTGAAAAGAACTCCACCGCCAAAAACTCCGCGGCGCCTGAATTGTGATATAACCAGTCTGGGACGTGCTGCTTCCAACCCCCTCGGGTGTTTCTCATCGATTTGTGAAACCGACAAGGTCGACATCTGCGCGGTGCAGCGTGGTGGTGGAACATATGCTAGTCGCGCTGTGGTTTGGAGCATTCGACGCAAACATAGATTTGTTTCTGTGTCGCAGAACAAAGACGGGCACGATATTAGCCCACGAACTCGGAAAAGGACCAAGGCCAGACCAGACGTGGTGAGGGGTTCGTGCTTACCATTCCTGTTTCGGCCGTTCGTTGTTGGGACTGGAAAAAGACCATGGCATCGCTCGGGCAGTACTGGCACTGCCTCGTGGTACGCGGAAGCTATACCGGGAGCCCTATGTCAGCCCATCTCGGCCAGCAATCCGGTTGATGCTTATGTGGACAAGATCTCTTCCAGAGCGGTCATGTCGGAACGGAGCCGACTGGGCGCCCGCTTCAGACTGGCGCCGGAGCTGCTCTCGTGCTCTTTGTTTCTACAGTATCTGGGCATGTGTGTCTGGACATGGGTGGGTGATGTGTGTGCAGTGTGGTGATTAGTACGGGGAGGGCTCGGAATCCTAGTCCATGGCCGCGCCGTCGTCGTCCTCAGCGTCGTCGACGACATAATCGTAATTCGAGTAGTCCTCGTAGTTGGCGTAGTCGTCGTACAAATCGATAAAGTGCGAGTTAAACAAGTCGAAGAAGTTGGAGTTTCTCAAGTTGACCAGGGTACCGCCGGGAGAGGTCGGTGGGGTGTGTGGCGGGGTGAGGTCTTTCGAGTTAAACATGCGCGTAGAGGCGGACCGAGTAGCCGCTGGGGACGACTGGGCGGCCAGTGACGGCTGAGTGACGGCGGACTGGGTGACAGCGGACTGGGTGATGGCGGGCTGGGTGATGGGCTGGGTGGCCGGGCACGACTCAATTGGAACATAAAGATACGCATCGCCGCACACGCTGCAAGAAACAGGTATTCCACACAGAGTGCAGAGGGCGATGGTGGTCTCACAGTCGGATGAATGCTCAGAGTCCGAGGGAGAAGGGAGAAGGGAATTGATGACGGGGAGGGACGGATCGGCAACTGGGATGACAACACTGAGAACAACAGAGCCCTCGGCGGACTCGCTCGTGGGGGCGTCAGAGGCGGTACCAACCGTGGGGTCCTTGCCCATGCCTGGGATGATGCCGGCGTGCAGGCTGGCGGTGCTGCTGAGCTCGTTGCGGAAGACGCACGTGTTGATGGCCTCGGTGGTGTAGTGGCAGGTGCGGCAGACGAACTGCAGCGTGCGCGACGAGTTGTCCTCGCGCGGGTACAGCATGTTGGAGCACTCGGCGCAGAACTGGAAGGAGACGGGCTTCTTGGAGGACGACTGGTCGTCGTCCATGCCGCCGCCGGAGGACATGGGAGTAGACATGGCTGCGGTTTGCCGTGTCTGTCTAGCTGGTTGGTGGGTGGGTTGGGCGGCGTTGTTTTGGTTTGTTTCCTGACGAGGTTTGGAGCCAAGGAAAAAGCTGGGCGCTAGGCCGGTTTTGTCTAGTTTTGAGAGTTAGGCATGCGGTGGAGAGAGCTGGGTGGGGCTTGTAGGCTCAAGGACAAAGACGTGAGCCCGGAGTTTCAGGCAGTTGAGGTTGGGTGAAGCTTGAGATGAGATCGAGGCCAGGGTTGACTTACCTGAAGGCTCTGGGTGAGGGTTGTTCTCTTATGATGGGAGGGAGCGTGACGAACAAGTGAGAAGACCGATTGCGGTTGAGGAAAAGGCGACCAGGCACGATAGGCAACGCGATGACTAAGCCTGCGCGTCTGGTTCGCGCTGAATTTGAGTTGACTCGATGAATCAGGCTGGGCGGGCAGTGGGGCCAGCACCGAAGCCTCAAAAAGCCAGCCAGCCAGCCAGCCCTATGGAAACAAAATGAAAGCTTGCTTTATTTGACCGAAGCTTGCTTTTGTGACTCTTTCTGTGATTTTTCGCCAGGCACCAGGAAACCCCTTGTGCCGACAATGTATCAAAATGTAGCAGCTAAGATATAACAGTAAGGCAACGTGGATTTACCACTTTATTAATTACTATTAGCCTTGCCGTGATTAACATTCCCAGCTCTTCTTCTTTATGCTCTTATTCTTTTTTGCGATATTAACTGCTTTTTAAATTCCTTTTCCAGGCAGGAATTTAGGCTGTAAATAAGAACATACGTGCATGTCCAGCTTTGGCGCCATTGACAAAAACACCAGCCGAAACACCCATTCATACCCACTTACACCCACCTCTTTGGACATGCCAGGCGGATTCCGTCTCGTGACGGATAGCAGCCGCACAGCTGATACAGCCTAATATAAGGTCTTACTTGCCCGGTGACCCACGTCCCTTTATCCGGAGCAGATACGGCATTGCATCATTGCGTGGGTCCCTCCTACGGATAGTGATTGCTGCGTGCCTTGTGTTCCCGGCTGCGGGGTTGTCCAGGCGATGTAACTGTGCGGGCAGCATACATACCACCTAGGCACCATTCAGGAACTGCCCTCATGTGTGCACTGTCCATCGGCTCATGTCTACAGTACAAGCCAAGCACGAATGAACCCCTACCTTGGGTACCTCCCTGGTATCCGGCCGATAAATGGACGGGCAGGAGCATCTCCTAGGGCAGACAATGCAAGGTACCAGACGGGACGCTGCCCAGGGACAGGCAGGCACCGCCCGGAAGCAACCAAAGGCGTGGCGTGGCGTCCATCGTTGGCAGCGGGGATGGATCTACGATGGTGGGGGTGGGTTTGTTGAGCTTCCAGGGGTCAGGCGGCACCAAATGACCTGGCAGCCTGCTGCGCGTCAACAGCAAGCCTGGTGGGGTAAGAGTGGTGCCAGGTGTCGCGCCGCGTTGGGCCTAAGCAGGGGGGCCCTTCCGCACCCACCTCCCCAGCAAAGCTTGCTTGTCACAAGACAGCCTCGACAGCTTCTCCTGCGGTGATACGGGAAGGCGTGGCTTGCTTGTGATTTGCAGCACAGGCCGAGTATGTGTGACGGTGTGGGTGACGAGCGACTCCCAGATGCGGCTGCAACTTGCACCGACCCGTCCCCCTCTCCCCTAGCTAGTTTCGGGGGGAGGCACAGCTGGAGGGATCCCCATGACCTGGCCACCTGTTCGGCCACAAGGACGGCTCTTTCTTCTCGGCCGGGTACGCACCTAAGCCGTTGCGGCCCACGACGGCCGAGGGTGTGACCGTCGGAACTTTGGGGATCTGCTTGATGGGCGCGGGGGCCTTGCAGGGCGGTTGCTCCCCTCCACTGCAGCCCGCCTCGCTCCCCGCCTTTCACAGAGCACGTACTACACCCACACACCCTAGTCTCCAAGTTGCTGGTCTCCAGTTGGCGTTGCTGCGGCGTCCACGGCCGAGCCGAGACGGGCCATTGGCCCCAGCTTAGAAACACGCCCGCCCGCCATTCGTCCCACACCAGAGCCCGCGCGAATAAAACCGCACAACGGCGACCAGGCTGGAGCGAGCTTTCCCTTGAGCTTGCCCGCTCTGTCTCCCAAGGTCTGCGCTAGTCTTGTTCGGTGGTCGCCAGCTCCCCTCTCAGTGTCGACTGCCTTCCCTGCAGCAGGTACTTATTACGAGAGGCCGCGCACCTCTCAGCCTGCCTGACGAACCCTTCCTGCCGACCTTGCGACTCTTGTGCCGCCCGTCTGACCAACCAGGAAGGCAGGGGCTGATGGTCCATCCACAACGCTTTTGGCCGTGACGACATCCCCCATCACGATCCACCTGCTCTCCTCCCCCACCCGAACCCGACACCAAAACCGCGTCCCGCCGGCTCAACCCTCGCTCGGTCTGACTCTCACCAACAACACAAGCATCCCATCTCCCAGCTTTCTGCATTTCCCCGCGGCTGCTGCTGCTTGTACTATCATAGACAACCACCATCGACTTGCTATCTCTTTGCCTCGCTACATCGACTCTATTCCGCGCGCGCGGCCTTCAAGACACGACTACTATATTCTTTCTTCCCCACACATACGTTGAAACCCGAACACCTTGGTCGGCTTCCATTCCCACACCTTTTGCGCAGTATCACTACTACCAGCAACATGTCGTCTTCGGATCAGGCTCAGTCCAGCTCGTCGACCCAGTCGCAGGTAAGTCCGCCCAGCCAAGGCTCTCCCCAGGCTTCCGCAGCCTTGCCTCGGCCCTGTCCCGTCCTGCGCTGCTCTGCCATGCTTTTATCTGTTCCCTCTGCCATTCTGGTCAGCCAAATCCCTCGTGGGGCCTCCTGCAGAACTGGTCTGCATTGGCGCGCGCGGCGGGCGAAACTACCGCATCCAACCTCTTTCCTCTGTGCCTTGCGAGCCCCACCAACCATAGCCCCCCAAATCTCACCACTCCTCTCCCACCCCTCGACCAGGCGCTGACGATGCCTTTCTTCATCTGGACAGGAGACCGGTCTGCCCCCTAACTGGGAGGTTCGTCTGTCTAAGAGCAAGAACCTTCCATACTACTTCAACACCCTCGACACCACGTCGCGCTGGGAGCCGCCCGCGGGCACAGACACGGACAAGCTCAAGGTGTACATGGCGAGGTACCACTCGACTCCCATGCCGGCCGACGGCTCCGGCCCAGGCAAGATTCGTGCTGCCCATCTGCTCGTCAAGCACCGAGACAGCCGCCGCCCCTCGAGCTGGAAGCAGGACCGCATCGTCCGCACGAAGGAGGAGGCGAGAACCGAGATCGAGGAGTACCACCGCCAGATAGTGTCGGGTCAGGCAACGCTTGCCGAGCTGGCCACACAGGAGTCGGACTGCAGCTCGGCCCGCAAGCGGGGGGACCTGGGCTGGTTCGGCCGTGGCGACATGCAGAAGGAGTTTGAGGACGCCGCTTTTGCACTCAAGCCTGGTGAGATCAGCGATATTGTCGAGTCGGCCAGTGGTCTCCACCTTATTGAGAGGTATGTCTCGTTTTTTTGTCTTTATCTTCTCCTGCTTGTCCCTGTCTTGATGCGAAATTTGTGACCACGCAGCACTAACTCCTCTCAACACTTAGACTGGAGTAAATCCAGCTCCTCCCTCCTCGACATGATCAACCCCCACGCTTGACCTACAGATCAAGTATCTATACCCCTTGTTGCCCCTACAGGTTTCGGTCCGGTGCTGGCCGTTGGGATTCGAAAAGAGCATTGTCTAAAATCCTAAGAGAGAACAAAAATACAATTTTTTTGGTCGGAACGTCGGTTTCCAGCATTGGTGACATTGTTGTTCCCGTGTATGTGGCGTTTAAACCCTCTGGCGGTAGTAAAAGTCGTCAGTTGTTCCTGCCGTAACACTCCCTGACTCGGGTCAGGTTGCCCTCCCTATGCATGTTTTTACCATGGCTGGTCAGGGGTTCGACTATGGCACGTCCAAGATGGCTCGTCGCAATAGTGTTTCTTCGTCCGTGTCTACTTCCAACCCCTCCATTCCAACTTTTTACCTACATTTGTTCATAGAGTAGGTCCTCCTGCCGCCACGGGAATATCGCAATCGAACGAACAAGGGCCATCTAGATGCTCGGCATGGTAGTTTAGTATTATAAGACACCAAGGCAAAACACCCGTTATACGCACTTCTGGCACAACCAACAGCCAGGGATAGGATATCCGTGAGTAAAAGGAAAGCTAAACAAAACCGATGGGTATCATTGATTCGTCACTCATCCTCCATAAGACATGTACATCGCGCGAATCCTCTTCCTTTTCCGAAATCGTATTCCCAGCTGGATAAACGCCCACCCAATATAAGAAACAGCCAGCGCCGGATTAGAGTTAAGAGGCGATGAGAAAGCAGGCAGGAAAGAATGGTGAGCGCGGTGCAAGCTATACACGCACAGGGGCCCCAAAGCAAATCAGCGAAAAAGAAGAGAGCCTCAAGCGGCGAACAAGGGGAAGCATTAAAGCGAAAGGAGCGAATGGCTAGTGCTCTAGCATCCACATTAGCCATTCGGCCAGCGGGCTGACGGAGAGCAAGACGACGGTCATGACCCCGAACAGCGTCATGGCGAGCGTCGAGTACGGCGCGGCGCGGCTCTGGCTCTCGTACAGGTACGACGTGCCCATGGCGGCGGCGTTTATCCCGACGGTGACGCCCGTGGCGACGGTCCGGGCGTCTTCGGTGGTGGCGCCGGCAGTGGAGTTATCAGAGGTGGTTTGGGGTTCTTGTTGCTGCTGGACGACGTGATCGTGACCCGACGATGCGGCGTTCGGCGACGCAGGCGGAGAGACAAGAATAGATGGAGCCGCGGGGGTTTGTGTGGCGCTGGATGTTATGGGGGTCGGGGGTGGCGAATCTACCGACATGTGCGCGTGCCGGTTTCTGCTCGGCGGGTTTGGAAAGCCAGGGGGGACGTCGAGGCGTGGACGGAGTGAATGTGTTTGCTGCTGCTGTTGTTGTTGCGGCTGCGGCGACGAAAGCTGTCTACTGAGCTGACGTGCGAGATCTGCAACGGCTTCTCTATCATGGCGTATATCCCCCAGCTCCAGGTCCGGGTGACCATGTCCCTTGTGGTCGTCGCCCTGCGCGTCCGATGCGCCCGCCGCTCGGCGTCTAGAGCTCTCCCACATCTCCGCGCACCGGTCACGCACCGCACCGAGGCGCGCGGCCGCCCACCGCCCGAGCCCGAGCCCCATGGCGACCTGGAAGACAACGCCGTTGAAGACGACCATGGCCGCGTTCGCACCCACATCTCCGCCCAGGCGCGTCAGGACGGGCGTGCCCAGGGCCAGCGTGACGCTGCGCGTGGCGAAGGACAGGCTCTGCGCGGACGCGAGCCCGGCGCCCGCGTGCGCCAGCAGCGGCGCCGACACGACGGTCACGGCGGCGGCGGCGGCCGAGGCGGCGAGCACGACCAGGCCCGTCGGCGACGCCAGCTGGCGGCGGCACTCGAACAGCTTGAAGCCCCAGGCCGCGAGGCCAGACTCGAGGATCGACGTGGCCAAGTCGCCGGCGCCCACATGCTGGCGGCCCCGGCGGTGGCCCGCCTCCCCGCCCGCGTCCTCGTCGCCGACGCCGCCGCCGCCGCCGAGGATGTGCCGCATCGCGTACCGGGCCACCGTCGTGCCGGACTGGAAGCCCCTGACGACGTCGACCAGCTGCGTCTCGGGCTGCCCCTTAGACACCCGGAGCGCCCAGCGCGCGTGGATGTAGGCGACCGTCGCGCCGGCCGTGATGAGCACCGGGTTGAGCAGGCAGACGGCCACGGCGGTGCGGACGCGCGGGTGCCGCCGCATGGCCAACGACCCCTGGCTCACCCAGCGCTGCAGCGCGTGCGACGCCAGCCAGGCCGTGAAGAGGACCGACACGTCGAGCGGGACGGTGGCGTCGGTGCAGCTGGCGATCACGACGGCGATGGGGACCGAGAAGACGCAGGCGTACAGGGTGATGTTGGATAGGACCCAGTCCATCAGCCGGGCCGCGTGGGGGTGCCGCTGGGGGGAGTCTGGGGCGGGGGCGTAAGCGGTCGGAGGGGGAGGGGCCTGGTTCCGGTCGTCGTCGTCGTCGTCCAGGGCCACGTCCTGGAACTCGTCGGCGTCGGTGGCGGCGTCCCGGGGCGTCCGCTGCCCGATCAGCGTCGACTGGTTGGAGAGGCGCCGGTTCTTACGGTCGCCGCTCTCGGCGGGCGGGTCGACGAGGCCAGCCGGGCGGCGGCTGGGGCGGGCGGGGCGGCGGGCGAAGATCAGGGCGCTTTGCAGCGCGTAGGTCATGCCGAAAACGACGACCGGGAAGATGATTCCGCATAGCACTGTTTTTGTTGGTTTTCTTGTCAGAAAGCAAAGGCCAGATGTGTTGGGTACAGCAGTCTTCCCAGCCTGGCCAAGGGTTCTTTCAGTCTTACCAAACATGGCTGTTATCAGCCCAATCTCCCTTGGGCTTGCCGCCGTGGCCTTGAAGATGTGCACAAACGGCACGGTGAAGCCGATGGCCATGTGCCGGTTGAGGAGGTTGGACTGGCTCGTCCATCGCTGTTAGTACTGCAACCTATCTACCTAGCCTTTTGCCTGGGGCCAGCAATGTTCCCACGCCAGCGCGGCCATGGGGTCAAGGGCAAGACACGAACCGGTGCGGCCAGGTGCTTCTGGTAGAAGTCCTGGACGGCTTCCGGGTTGCTGGACAGCACCCGGAAGCCGCCGTCCAGGGCAATGATGGTGATGGCCAGGGCCGCCATGCCCAGGATTGCGGCCGAGAAGTTGTTCATGCGGTCGCCCGCACTGGTGAGCCCCAGGATCACGGCCTGGGTGGCCACCACCAAAAGCACGGCCACGGCGCCGTCCACGTACTGCTTGCGCAGCCGTGCCGGCACCCAGTCCGCCATCTTGTTGCTGTTGCTGGTGCTGTTGGTGCTGGCGCTGTTGGTGCTGCTGCTGCGGCGGCGATGGCGGCGGCTGTTGTTGTCATCCGCCATCCACTTTGCCAGAAAAAGCTGGCGGTGCCGGCAACCAATAACAAAGCCCCAGCCTGCCCCAAAGGGCAGGTTGTCGCTGTTTCCCTAGCAGGTGCAAGGCTGATGTTGGCGGCAAGACAGCCTGGTATGAGTGGCACCTGCCACTGTGGCGCTGCGCTCTCTGTCGTATGCGGTACGGGACCGACCGGCTGCGACCAACGTTGACGATCAACAAGTGATTCAGAGAGTAGGGATGGGTGAGACACCAGACGGGAAGGGCCTGTCACAAAATGATGGGTAAGGGCTGCAGGTGCTATATGGGTGGCTCTGTCCCAAGGTCTGAGACCGAGGAGCAGTATATGGCTGGTGGGAAAGGTAAGGTGCATAGGATGGGAAGGTCGTTGTCCCAATGCACCGCTGGGGCGAGACATGATCTTAAAAAGCAAAGTTACGGCGGGGTCAAGGTCCCGAGTTGGACGGCGGCTGAGAGTGAGCTGAGCGGAGAGACACGAGACGCAGGTACGTGGAGGGCTGGGCAGGCTGTTTGACAAAGACTCGCTCACTGTTGCTCTATTCGCTGGACCGCGGGACCTATCACTATTGGCTGCGCCGCCACCGCCTTTCCGGACAGGATTCGCTTGTCGTTCGGCCCCGGCTGGGCTTCTATCATCATGTCTTGGGGGATAATCGCGGCGGCACCTTGGCCCTGCTACAGCCCGCCCTCCCGCCCGCTTCTTGACGGCGTGCGGCCGTGGGATCTGTTGAGTGGTTGCCTGAATGGGCGGCAAGACAGGCTGTGTTCCATCTGACGGAGCCCAAGCCTTGTGGGGCTTTGTTCAGGAGACGGGGAGAGGAGAGGCGGGAGACCCAGTGTTGCTATCAAACGGTCGGTACTCTTTGCCGAATGAGAAAGGGACAAGGCCACAAACGGCAACTTGTTGTCCTTGGAGGATGTTTTATAAGCCAGAGCGGAGGCGAATCTAGCGTTGGCTTGAGACGGATAGGGTGCCGAAGGAAGCCTGGACATCAAGACGACCAGACAAGCGTGGTTGGGAGACGATGTTGGAAACAGGCGAGGGATGTGAGAGAAATCCAATTTTGCAAACGGCTGTCCAACACCGACATCGGGGAGACTTGGAAATGGGGGACACTGAACCGGACACATAGCAGCGGGCCAAATACAGGCAACGAGGGAAAAAGCGGTGCCGAGTGCTAGGATACGGGTCGAAGGAACGGGACACGCCCTACTTCTATTTTTGGATGGGTAGGTTATATCTACATCCGGATGTACAGGATGTATCCTTGCCTGCCTGCTTGCATGCCCGATCTGATAGATCAAGTCGGTGACTGGATCCAACTGGCATTTCCTAGTGGCACACAGGCTAGCCAAACAGCATTTCTCGGTACAGGGTGCGCACATATGGTCGCAGGTAGCTAACTGGGCTCCCCACGCTTCTGCGGCGAGAGGGATCTGAAGCACGGGCCACGGAAGGGCAGGGAAAGAGAGGGGAGCAAAAAAATCTGAAAGGGATGGAGACAAAACTCCAAGGGGAAGCTAGGGGACTATGCACAATAGTTTGACAGCCGGCCTATCAGCTGTAAGCGGAAGCGGGCTAGGGTACGACGACAACGGCACACAGGGCGCAGCCACCTGCGCTGGCGGCATGGACGCCATGCCTCGTTGCTGACGGGTGAGCCAACCGCACGTCCAACGCCCCCACACGCCCCTGGCGCAATGGCGAGTCTTGCCTCGAACATATTCCCACCTCGTTCCCTTCAGTGACAGGGTGTAGCCAAAGGCTGGTTTCCAGTCGTGTAGCAAGACCGACAAGTGAAGCGAGGCAGGCAGGTAGCTTTGCTTGCCTTGATTTCAGTCTAAGGATCAGGGACTTCATGTTTGTCTGCTCTTGATGGCAAACCGGGGACCTGGAGAGGGAGCGGGTGGCCCATGGGCCGCCAAAAAAGAACGGAAGGACGCGAGGCGGGCGGTTGTGTATGTGTGCGTGTGCGACGAAGCCGTATCTCTGTCGTCCATGTCACAGGTCACATTTAGGTATTTGCAAAACACAGCCGCCAAGGGTGCCAGGGTGGGGCAAATAAAACACGAAGACTAGGCTAGCAAAGACATCGAGAATGGGTGTTGACGGTCGGCAGGCGGCTCTTCCCTCCGTCTCCCGCCGACGGCACGGGGC